ATCACAGTATCACCAAAACCACCAACAACAAAAGTCGCATTCTTCTTGAATGGCGCTAAAAAATAAAAAATGAACGAGTGTAGAGGGCGCTCTTTGCTCAATAAGATGATCTGATGATTAGAAGATCATTTTGATAAGATAAAATAATTCAGTCATTTATTCACACATTCATTCGCTCACTCACTCATTTCTCAATCACTCGCTCGCTCGCTCGCTCGCTCACTCACTCACACACTCACATACACAATCGCACACTCATTTACTCACACACTCACTCACTCACACACACTTAGATAAAACAATTCAGTCATCTATTTACACATTCATTCGTTCACTCACTCACTCACTCACACACACTTAGATAAGTTAAAACAATTCAGTCATTTATCATCATCGTCGCTAACTTGCCTGGAATGACAGCATCGTTGTCATCACCTGCTTTTTTAAACTTATCATTACAAGTAGACCTGTTTGAGTGAAATGGTCGAGATGAGAAGTACATTTTAATGTTCAATACAATGACACGTTATATACTTCATCTATTCACTACACTACACTAATAATTGGGATGCAATGAACAAACGAACGAACGAATGAATGAATGAACGAACGAACGAACGAATGAATGAATGAATGAACGAACGAACGAACGAAAAAATGAGTAAGGGAATGAATGAATGGATAAATGAATAAATGAACGAACGAACGAATGAATGAATGAGCGAACAAACGAATGAATGAAATAATGCAGCAAAAATATGCACTCAAATTCAATAATGAGGTTAAGGTGACTTATGAAGATGACTCTAATATCAAAAAATCATTATATATATATATATATATATATATATATATATATTAGTGTGCTGTATACATATATATATACATATACATATATAATATATAGTAAATATAATATATATATATATATATATATATATATATATATATATTAGTGTGTTGTTTCGGAAATTCATATTTCCATTATCGATGTTAATTTTCGTTTTGTTTATGTTCTTATATAAGCTATTGTTACTTTGTTCCTATATTAATATAGTTTTTCCGTGTTCTTTGTATCTCTTTGTATCTCACAAAGAGATACAAAGAACTTGTATAGAGAATCATTATAATGTGTAGGATATGTGAGATACAAAGAGATTCAAAAAACTTGTAAAACTCATACAAATTTGTGTGTGCGTGTGTTTACGCGCACGTGTGTATGCCATTATAAAACTATTGGAATGTTAATGAACTCAGTTGCATAAATTATATAAAATGCGAGTTTGATTCGAAAGCCACTAGAAGAAGAAGAACAAGTGCTGAAGAACTGTTTGTCACTGGTTAATTTGTATGGGCTTGTACATTAACATGCACTTGCATACACACAGTGCACCGTGTACACAGTACAACGAACGCATATACAAGCGTAAAACCCAGCTCATACCCAGCACAACCATATGAAGTATGATGTTGGGGATGCGAATTTTACGTAAGGTACCCCCGTCCTCTCGTAATGCGTAACGTTTAATACACATTTATGTATAAATATATGCAGTGTCTATGTATACATAATTAAATAGAATCATTATACACGTGTAAGTATGCTTTAAATCACACACATAAACATGTACACACTTATAACAAATGACAAATGCATCCGTATATTAAGATGGCGGATCAACACACTTCGAGATTTGGTTAGATAGCGTAAATTTTTATTTTGAACGTAAATTTTTGAATAAATCAAAGTGTAAAAGGTAGGAGATAACTTAAATTATAAACTTTTTGAGTTGTTTTATTTTCGTCATATTTCCGGTTGCATTGTTACCTGTCTGTTTTTTTGTTGTTATGTTCATTGTTTTGACTGTTTGTTGCTTGTTAATTTGTTGTTTAACGCACACCACTGCATTGAATTCATAGTAAGATTTGCAAATGTGAGATCACGTGGAGAGTTATTTCAGAAATCCTCTCTCAATGTCATCCCACTAGTACAAATTGATTTAACTACTAACTTTATTATTCTACAAAATTTGTCGATCTCAATTTCAATTTAAAAAGTATCTTCTTTCTCAACCGCATGGGATATATTTATAAATATAAAAAATACGGATAAAAAATCGATTGTCGTTTCAATTCGGCAGCATGCACCATTATCTTGAAAACTCAACTCCTTGGCGATGCCAGTTAACGGTTTATACACATACCTATGTATATCATTTGTCTCCATGCAACATACAACAATGATTATACATCATTTGGTATCATGTAATTGAATCAGAACCAACGGATCAGGTATACACACTTTAAATTATTTGGAAAGAAATTATATAAATACACGTATGTAAGTGCATGTTTGTATGGTTATCTGTATACGAAAAATGGCATGGCTTATTGCTATAATAGTATCGTCAATAATAGCGAAAGAATGTTAAGTAGTTATCAGAAAAAACTTGTTGACTGGATTATTTTCAAGTGAGATAAGCTGAATATTGTCAAATGAAATTAAACATACAAGATATAGTCTACACGAGCTAGTCTTCTTTATTGACGTGTTTACTAAATTGAATAAGCAAAAGAATTTCTAATTGACCGATGTTGACGATGATTTGATATCATCACTTGATATTTATTAAGTATGTTCATTAGGTATCATAACTTGATATCATATCATCACTTATCACTTGATAGCATCATCATATATCTTCATTAGGCATCATCGTTAGATACCACGATATGATCCTCCTCCAGATAAAAATGAAAGTATGTAGGTAGACATTCCTCTCGTGCAACTGCTGTTATCGCTTTCATCATTTGTCGCTTGTAACGATAGCGAAGGACACTCGAGGTTGTTGACGCTTCAGATATGTTCATCATTCCTGTGTGGCACATGCATTGCAATTTTAACTATCTCATATCACCGATTATCTTCAAGTGAGTTTTTATTTTTCTTTCCGCTCTTTTAACGCGCTGGCCAATTTAAACTTAATGAAATCCGTTTTATTGTCTAATGTTTGTTAAAGTTTTTAATTTATGTGTCAAACGGGGGACTCACTGTTTGGCGGAAGAATTAAAAAATGAGCTTCCGTACAAAATAAAACAAAATAAAACAATGCAAGTCCTTAATTCCGAGCATCAGACAATGAGAAACATAAGAAACTGGCAGGCGAGGTGAAGTCATAAAACAATGAAGAATTCAACATGATTCTTACAGTTTATCAAAATATGAAAGAAAATTATTAAACGTTCATCATCATCATCACACAGAATTTTGCCATAAAATAAAATTGCCATGTGTCAAAAAGGGTTTGTCTGACACATTTGAATTTTATCAATTCATTCCATGTAACGCGTGTCATGGATGAAAGAGATGTAATTTTTTTTATTTTAACTATAAATTAACTCTAGTGCCAATTTTGTCAATTAAAAACCTGGATTTTTTGATTTTAATAATCTTTAGTGGAAAAAAATTAAAAAAACGACTAAAATTCATATTAACGCCAACCATTCGGTAGAATTTATAGAATATTGCAAAAATTATGGTCTTTTACCAATATATATATATATATATATATATATATATATATATATATATATATATATTGGTACAAGGTTCTCAGCGATACAAACTTAATATTTACAAATATTTAATGAAGTTTATATATATATATATATATATATATATATATATATATATATAATAAACAATAATACTAAATTAATTAAAAACATGCTTCAACAAAACACAATTAGAATTAAAATAAAACATTGCAATAATCCCTGTTAGTTATACTGAGTTGAGAAACATTTTTGTATAAAAAAGACTTTAAGCAAAATAAATATAAAACACTTAAAAAATGAAATAAACGTTATTTTCAAGAGTTTGTGTCAAAGTCTTCAATTGACGGATAATGGAGATGTAACAATTCTAATAATCGGATAAAGTACATACCATCCCTAGCTTTTTTTACTTTTGTTTCAGTGGCACCTGTATTGCTTCTTCATTAATGTATGCAAAGGTGTTCGTTTGTTTATGCGTACATTGCTCTTTTATTTATTACATTAATGTGAAATCGGTACTGTAAATTAGTGACAAAAGGTTTCCATTGCACAATATTTAAAACAATTTCAGTACGCTTAATCATTCAATAAAAGTATTAAATTATTCAAATAGACAAATGTACTAACTAACAAATCAGCACATAAGTCATAGAATAGAATAATAGAGTGATAGTCACACCACAATTACATTAATTAAAGATAAAATAAAGTAAATTATATTATTCATTTCGTTACTAGGTGAGTTTTTGTGATTTCTCGGTTAAATTTTATACTTTAAATGTTTTAAGTTTCAAATATTAAATTTGATCTGGTTTCTAATATCATGTAAAATTAACTAATCTTATTAATATATTTTAATAATATTTGGTTCAAATTTTTTCATTATATTATATTATAGTATAATTATAATAATAATGTCTAATAAAAAAAGACTTCATAAATCTGAGAACTAATATATTAAAGTTTTCAACAAAATTCTGCCACGAATTATAAGAAACTAAACAAAAGATAGATTTTCAGAAATAAAATTTCATGTTAACATTTGCAGCAAAAAATGTTGAGTGAAAAGGAAAAAGATCCTCAATCACGATCCAGTTTGCTGATAGCCTTGGGATTCTTGCTGCACTTCCTGGCACTCATCCTGTCAGCCATCAGCTTCTTCTCTCCTTTCTGGATGATCGAGTTGAATTCTGGGTACAAAACGGGACTGTGGGGAAGATGCGATCAACTTGAGATGAACTGCATCTGGTTCCATGAAAGGGACTATGCCTGGGAGAAGTTTATCCCAAGTATTATAATTTTACTTGATACTGTTCTCCTTAATTATCTTTGGCTGTTTCATTCTTTTATGTAAGTAGCTTGTTAAGCGGTATTACATAGCTAGCAGCTTGAATTTATATACAGATATTGTTTTAAAACATAGAAATGAAATGTTTGAACAGATTGGCACATAGCAGCTCAAGTGATGTTCTCCATTGGGATTGGAATCCTGGCACTCAGTTTCATGGCCTCCATGGGCCACCTCATCTTCCATTGCTGCAAAAGCCTCTTCAGTATATACCTCTACATTGGGGGGGCAATCTTAGTTGCAGGTTCAGACATCTTTTTCATGCTGAGTTGTTAATGTTTATCGTGGTTTTATAAGAAGATTCTTTCATAATTTCTTCAGGCCTAGTAATATTTAATTCATTGGCTAATCTAATAAATTCTGTTGAAACTAATAATTCAATTTAAAATCAGAATTATTCATAAAAGACTGAAACGTTATGCAGTGGTCTTTGAGATGATATCAATCATAGTGTTTGGATCAGGAGCATACGCGGTGTATGATGTCAGTCTGTTCAGTTGGTTGGGCAATTTCATATGGGCCTTCTATGTGGGCATCGCTGCACTCTTCGTCTGCACCTTCTCTGCCTTCTTCTACCTGGCTGGTGGACAGAAGATCGCAAGTGACATGAAGAACTATTCAGCAGTTTACACGTAGGGTGGAATTACTTTAGTGGTTGTGGTTTGCCTGTGTGTGAAGTGTTGTTGCATGTTGTATGGAGCAAGAAAAAGTTGGATGTGTTGTATGGACTTGCAAGGTTGCACTAGACATCATTGTGGATGTCTGACAGAATTTAAGTGAATAAATTTATAAAAGTGGAATGAATGAAAGATGACGAATCACATTTGTGGATGAAATTAAATGTGTAAGCACCAGATTTTCGTCAAGATTATTTTCCAATTAGATTTTTAATCGACAGTTATATTTTATATTTGCACAATTTTTAAAATGTAAGATTAATTTCGTAATAAATGTCATTAAAACAAATTATTTTAATAAAACAACGGAAAAGTCCTTGTAACTTTAAAATCAGTTGATGTCTTTAAATATACCATCACAATTTTTATTGTGATGGTGTATTTAAAGATACACCATTATATGATATAAATGATAAAAAATACGACTTTGAAAAGTTTCATTAAAAATATTCTTGTGACTACAAGTGACTGGCGGCACCTCATCAACAGAGCCAGTCAACTTCCCATTACATCCTGCAACTTCATCTCCTAATTCATTAACAACGGCCACATTAGCAACAGGGTTAGCACGTTATATACGTGATGTTAGGGTTAGACTGACTGTTGAGGAACAACGTTTCGAATATGTCGTCGAAGAAGGTTGGGTAGCTTCTGAGGAACCTCGTGTTGTCCGGTCCGAAGTTGCATTCCAGTACGACTGGCTGTATGGTGGCTGGTCTGTTGTCTGTTGCAATAGGTGCGGCGGTTCGTTCAAAACTTGTAAATAATACCAGGTAAAAATGTGGTGGTGGTGGAGTCCAATGGCGATGAGGGTGACATGGTTATTTTTAAAACAATGTAGTTAACGCATTCATTTTATACTGAAATATAACATAAGAAAAACTATTCAGAATAAAAATGAAGCAATTAATCTTTTCACACAAATCTAGACGTATCTAAAACAGGTCAATATTAGCACAACACTGCCATCTTCCCCGTCGTCGTCTCACCTCGTTTGTTCCACTTCAGCATGACATCGACGCCGTAGATGGTTCTCGATTGGGGGCAATGCCCTATGCCCCTCGGTGGGGGCAGTCTGCTGGCGCGTTTGAACATCTCGCTGATCATTCCATAGATGTCGGACTTTATTGTTATGGTATACAAAAAATGTACGCTAACTTTTAAAAAATCTCGGAAAAATGCATAAGTTAATTCTGGTTTGGTTAGTCCGAAAATTCTATGCAGGCTCTATTTGAACATTAATTTATTTCTTCCATGTTATGTAATCATCATCTTGAGTTGTTAAAATAACTCTCAGTCACACATATATCAAGTTTTATAAATTCAAAATACTGAACATCAAATTTTTCTCATTTTTGTCCATGAAACCATAGATAAAAATTGTTAACAGTTTTTAATTACACTTAACGGGCCCGCTGTCCATCAAACATTTATAGAACTTGTTCACACCACATCACGCAACATTATTAAAAAAAATTTGTCTTAAGTATGATTCTATGGCCTCAGTAATAAGAGGCATCATACATAACGAAGAAAAATTAAATTTAAATGTGAAATACGACAAGTGAAAAACTCAAACAACAAACGGACCAGAACATCGTTCCATCCGAATGAAGGATACTGATCTGCAAATCTCTGCTCCATCTCTTCACATGCTATCTATGTTAGATGAGACGTGAGCACTTGATAACCAATTAAAAACAATATAATGGTGGCGTGTGTTGTCAAATTATTACAATAAGTAATACACCAACTACATCAATTAAACACACACATGAACGCAAATATCAAATATTTCTGGTCCGTCACATCTCATAAATTTGAAGGTTGTCAACAAACATGATAAAAAAAAACAAAAATAACAATAATGATTAAGCTGAGTTTGCACACTTGAGTTAATTCGTTTTGAAGTTGGCTTGGATAATTTTAGGATATTATTTAACTTTAAATAAACATTTCATTACTTGATATAAACAACAAAAAACTTGAAACTAGATAAAACATCATGGACGTTAGGCACCTTCGTACGCAAAATATTGTACCAGAATGTAAGCAAGCAAGTTAATGCAGTTAAGAAGGTACGTACTATGTGCATCTTGGCCCCGGGTTTGTAGTTCATAACGGTGAAATGCTGCTCATACTCGTCGAAATTCCTCATTGAAAACTCTCTGCAACGCAGAATGAAACGTCAAAAAATGACATCAATCACAAGCAATTAGTAACGTATTCATCATAACTATCACAATGTTTTTAATTGAAAAAAATAATAATTAACGTAATTGGTATTAATTGATATTAGTTGGTGTAATAGATATTGTAAGTGATGTAGGTACTAGCAGCAAGACCTCGCACCATCACATCAACCTGCAAAAACACAACACAGCAGCAGCGGCTAGACGCCACCAATCTGACCTGTTGGCTACCCTAATGAGAAACTTCTTATGGACGGCCAACTTGAGAGGCTGCAGGCTGATGAGCATGACGATGAAGCGAAGATCAAACTTAACGAGACCCACGTCCTTCCTGCTCAACAAAACTGGATCGTCAATGTACAGGCAGGCCACCTTCGTCGTCATCATTACACATGTATCAATCAACACAACTCATTACAGCAACAACCATTCCATGCGACCTCCATCTCCTCAACACTCATTCCGAATTGTAGATAAAAAAAAATATACTTTTCTACAACTTTCTTAATTAGTTTTACTTCATTATAATTCAAAGATGTCATTTTATTTTCTCTTTGGCTCATATCAACAGCATCAATCGCATTTATTTGATTGTGAAGATTCAAAGACAACCTTAGGACCAGTCTCGAGCAGTCTGACGATCTGATTGACGTTCCCAGTCACGTGGCTGTCCAGTCCTCGAGACAGATTGTACGGCTTCACTATCCAGTAGTTGCACAGCGCACTGTTTGTAGAAAATTATAAATGCGTGGAAAGTTAATTGGGAACGAAATAATATTCAAAAATCGAAAATTACGAATTGAATAAATTAGAAAATGAAAAAACAATTTGAAGAAAAAATAATGAAAAAAAACCTCTTCTCCCTCCTTCTGAAGTATCTGATAAACTTGGCAAGTTCATTCCTCAAGTCGAACGTGACAGCCAACCAGTTAGGAAATTCATGATGGTCAGGGTTGGGCGACTTTGTGACGTCAGCAAGGTCAAGGTCGGAGTCAGTCTTCTGGCCATCTGAAGTTTGTGAATCATTTTTGCACACTCTGTAGAGCATGTTCTTGATGGTGAGAACCATTTCGAATGGGAACTGGTTGATGAGTTTGTTCGGGGTCTCCTCACTGAAGGATCTGTTTTACGATGATGGTGGTGATGCATAATGATCATAATGATTGCATAAAACATTTAAGGACTGCACAAAATATAATTTAGTTTATGATAATATTTCTATTTATGAAAATATTTATTCATTGTTGTATTACAGAAAAATAAACTTAATTATTAATAATAACAATTAATAGATGTGATGAATTAGATGAAACTTATTCACATAAAAATATTAACTGCATGAATTATAAAATTCATTTAATTGAATCCACCGAAAATCCATTCAATAATTCATTCATTCATTCTTTCAATCCATTCGTTAATTTACTCTTTGCACCATCAACCGATTTATCCATCCATCCACCAATCGCCAACCAATCAGCTACCAGCATTGGACTGACTTGAAGTCACTGAGGTAATGCTTGGTCCAGATGATGTCTGCCTCTTCCAGACTGTCGATCAATGAGAATGCAGGGTGCTTCAGGTGATCGCACACCTGTATTGTTTATTCACTAGATTATAATTATACAATTATAATAATGAAATAGTTATGTTAATATGCTGTTTTATTTACATGATTACCAAATAACATTGCTGGTTGAATTGGCATTATCAATCATCGCCTCATCGATCACCATATTATCATCATCGTGCTTATTTATTAATTAGTTAATTAATTCATTTGTTTTCACCTCAATCAATCAACATCATTCAATTAACACTTCAGGCCACCTGACGATGAAAAAAAAATCAAACGTGCTCGCTCCTAAATCATTATCACCATACCATTACTAACATCATTTTTCAGTAATCATTCAAATTAAATACGATAATTATCATTAAGTTTGCCAACAACCCATTAAAATCATCACTAATTAACTAACTGCCCTTTAAACATCATCATAATCATTACTATGATCTTCCTCACCACTGGCATCATCATCAACATCATCATCATTATCGTCATAATCGTCATCATCATCATAATCGTCATCATCATCATTATAATAATCGTTCTTTTCGTCATCGTCGTCGTCGTCGTCATCACCCTAATCGTCATCATTATCATCATCATCATCATCATCATCATCATCCTCAACGTCTTCCTCCTCCTCTCCTTCATCACCACCAGCTTACTTGTTCAACGTCGGTAAATACTTTAAGCTTCCTGTGAAGAGATGAAAGGTCTTGATGATGATCCTGAATTGTTGGCAGGCTGGTGTGAACTGAAAATTTCTGTTAAAAAATTTTCAACAACTTCCGGTCAGTTGGTCTTGATTTATCCTCAAAACAAATCTCTATAGCTTATTTGTCAGCAATATTTTTTCAAAGTAATTTCAATTTTTTTACATTATTTGACAAAAACAGTAAAAAATGTAATTAAATAATTTTAAAAAATCAGGATTAAACCCACACTATTGAAGATTTCATCACTATCACCATCTTTATCCTCATCGTCGTCGTCGTCCTCTTCACCCAGTGGCACCCAGGGAGACAGGAGGAACCTCCTGAACTTGCTGGAGACATTGGGCGGCATGTTCACGCAGTCCCTCGTCACCTCATCTAAAAAACATCATCCACGCTCATGCTGGCTGCAAATAATTCCACAGAGACCAACCAGCAATCAAACAAGAAACAACGCAGTGACAAAATCTGAACATCTGCAAACAACAACAGCAGCACCACCAACAGCACCACTATAACAACTCCTTCCAAGCAATAGACGAGCACCAACAACAACATCACGACAACATCACCAACGTAGTCAGAACCAACATCATCATCATCATAATCATCATCATCAGCAGCAGCAGCAACCTCCTCTCTTCAAATCCTGGATAGGCCACATGAGGGTGAATGCAGTTTTTGTTGGTGCATAACAGAACGGGACCATCTTCACGGTTGGACTGTCCGAATGTTGCACTCTGCTACCAAACTCGTCCATCACATACCAGATTGGACTGGCCGATTCACAGCCCTGTTCATTCATCAACAATTATCGTCCCAATTGTTTATTTTTTTTTAAATATCGTAAAAAAATTAAATGGGCTGACTGACATGACATGACTTAAAACTTGAAATTCGCTAAAAAATTTGGTAAAAGTTTCATAATTATCAATATAAGATGGCTCACCGATCGACCAATTTGGTTTGCAAGAGTTGAATCATGTTATATGAAGAACATTAAACAACAATAATAATAATAATAGATAAACAACAATAATAAGAAGAAGAAGAGGAGGAGGAAAAAGAGGAAGAGGAGGAGGAGGCTCCTAAACAATTATAATAACAATGATAGAATTGCACGATTGGTAACAAAAAAACATAAACGATGATATAACTTTCATCCAACCTACCTACCAGATTATCGTTTCCAATGCTGTATGTCTGGTTGAACCTTATTTAAATTTAACAAAAAAATAATCAAAGTCAAATAGACACTAAAGTATGCACTCTATTGAATCAATGCAGCCATATAAGTTGGGTCACCAAAGATGAAATTCTAATGAATACAAGAAAAAATTGACAAAGAGTTTAATATTATTAGCTACTAGTTTACCATAACAATTTGGTACCATAATCATACTTACAATAACCAACAACTTCATTTCAAGCTGTTTTCCTTCTTAGAAAGGAACAAAGTAAATTCTTTTTATCTGCATCATTCCACCCATTACACAAAGACAGACCATTTACCAGCAATACAGTTTCATGAACTCAGTATTCAAAGTTTTCAAGGGAATTAAAAATTTTAAAAATTTAAAAAACCAAATATTACCATGTCTCTATACACTCAAATAACATTTTACAATATATTTCAGACAGGATTAATACCAATCTTATAAGAAATAATCTAGTGTATAAGGCTTATACACTAATTCTATGTTCTTTATTCTATTATTATTCTATTATTATTATTATTATTATTATTATTATTAGTACTGTAAACTTTAATTCTAACAGTGTCCGTTCAAATGGAAATTTTAACGTAGATAATAATTCGTCTAACAATTTTAATTCAAATTTACTAAATAATTTGCCAATTAATATGGATAATAATAATTCGATATTTTGCTGTTGCGGTAAAAAATGTAAAAATAAAGGAGGTCTCAAATTACACCAACGTTCATGTAAAGTTCACCAAAACCTTAAATCGTCAAACAATTCAAATGAAAGCAACTCGGAAGCTGACCCGCCTCCACCGCCACCACAAGTTCAACGTCAGTCCAACCAACTTCAACCAAGCCACAGTCTACCGCCATCGCCTTCAGCTTCAGCACTCAATCATTATCTCCATTCGTCAAATGCGCCAGTCGAAGACAACAACAGAGCAAGCTCACCATCATCATCGACACAGGTTCAACAACCATTCCAACAGCCGAGCCATGGTCCACAGTCAGCGTCATCAGCACCCAACATCAATTTTATTGCTTGTTGCTGCGGTAAATACTGTAAAGGCAGGAAAGGCCTCATCATGCACCATCGCTCGTGTAAACTTCATAAAACTCTCATATTATCTAATACTTCCAAAGTAACTGAATCATCCATATCGCCGCACGTCCAACAACCAATATCCTCGTCACCATCAAATGTTGAAAAAACTGAAATACCTCTCCCAGGGGTCAAACTGCCCAGAACCCCTGCTCAATGGTCAGAAGCCAATGCATATTTTCAACTTCACCAAAAGTCGCTACCAGCGTACTACAACATCGACGAGTTTACATTAGCGTTTCAAACAATGATCTACAACTACTTTGCTGCAAACTATGGTACCATCAAGTCGCAAACAAGTTTAAACGACAACAAAAACAAATCCATTAAAGCATTGAAAAAAGAATTAAAACAGCTTAAATCGTTGGGCCACAACAACCACCGTTTTGACGTTCAAATTAGCTCAATAAGCAAAACATTGAGATCAAAATTATCGTCAAGAAAATTAGCAACAACTAAGACACCTGACACAACAAATCAATTAAAACGTCGCTTTTGGTGGTTCTGTAAAAGGTTATTTACCCAATCAAAAAGTCAAGGTCCGTTGTTCAGTGTCGACGACTGCAAAAACTATTTTTCCTCCGCCTTAAGCGACGACAATTCCAAAAAATATCAACTCCCAAATTGGGTTCCTAGTACATCAAAGCCCACAACACCCTGCCACACCAGTCCGCCTTCTTATCATGAAATATCATCAATTGTTTACAAATGCAAAGCAAAATCTTCTCCGTGTCCCTTGGACCAAATATCAATAATACCTTTCAAAAGATGCCCAATTCTTCGAACCATTCTACAACAACTAATAGCTCAATGTTGGTCATCTTCTAAAATCCCCTCTTGCTGGAAAAAGGGATTTACAATACTTATTCATAAAAAAGGTGACGCAAATGATCCAGCTAATTTTCGTCCAATCACCTTGCAACCTACTCTATACAAAATACTTTCAACATCTATCAACAATCGAATCTATAAATTTCTCGAATCTAATTCATTAATAAACAAAAACATACAAAAAGGTTTTTATCCAAAAGTTGATGGCTTGACCGAGCATACCCAACTCCTAACTCACATGCTCAATGATGCAAAGAGACATCAACGAACTGTCATTGTCACTCTTTTGGATCTTCGAAACGCATTTGGCGAAGTCAGCCACAACATAATCTCATCAACCCTAGATTACCATCACATCCCTTCCCAAATAAGCAACTTAATCAAAGCAATATATGCCGACTACACAATATCTGTTTCTGGATGCGACAACCTTACTCCTCCTATCCCGGTTAGACGTGGTGTTCTGCAAGGTGATCCCGTCTCCCCATTAATCTTCAACATGTGTTTTAACCCATTGATGAAGTTGATCGAAAAGACAGAATATCAACAATGCGGTTATATTTGGGGACCGACGGCCAACTTAAAAACCAATGCTTGGCTTCAATTTGCGGATGACACAGCGATCATCGCCAACAGCACAGATGGTGCTCAAAAATTAATCGACTTGAACCAAGCTTGGTGTAAAGCTACCGGCATGAATATGAGGATTGATAAGTGTTGCTCGTTTGGTATGAGGAAGAAGAACGGGGGCTATGAACAATTTTCGCCGAGGCTGACCATTGATAACAAACAAATCCCTCATATCGATATGAACGGTCATTTTGAATACCTCGGCAAAATTTATGATTTTAAAGGAAACAACTCGAAGGCAAAAGAATTACTGATTAAAAAGCTGAAAAACATGCTGTCAGTCGTCAACGAGTTGGACACAACGCCCCAATGGAAACTCCAAATACTACGAAGATATATTCCGTCTCAGTTGGCCTTTGAGCTTCGAACGTATGACATGCCGTTGACGTGGATTGGAAACAACCTGGATCCTATGGTTGCGGAATCAGTAAGAAATTGGCTTTCCCTCCCGATTAGCAGTTGTATATCTGAATGTCTATCCCTCCCCTTCAAATTGGGGGGCCTGGAAATCAGATCGCTAAAACATTTTGCCGAATCACTCAGAGTTAAACTCAGAAATTATCTGAGATCTCACGACAACAAAGATGTAAACTGTCTGTGGAGTGATTCGTACAACAACTACATTAAGATCGACAACATGCTTCCTGATTCAGAGAGTGTGAAATCGACGCTCAATGCGTTAAAGATTCGTCAACATGAAGCCGATTTCGATCATGTGTCGCAACTTTCCTGCCAGGGAAGAATAATTAAAGCAGTTAGAGAACACATTCCACCAATCCACGTTACCCGATGGTCGAGGCTCACTGCCGATCTTCCGGAGGTCTTATTCAGATTCGTTAGGAAAGCATTGATACAACAACTTCCGACAAATGCCAATCTTTCCAGATGGGGCAAGTCTTCCAACGCCTTATGCCCGCTTTGTAACGCGCTTCAGACAAACAAGCACGTTCTGTCAAATTGTGATTCAGTAGCGGCTTTAAAAAGATTTACAACACGCCACAACAAAATATTATCTTTAATTCTAGAGAAGATCAAATCATTTGCTAAACCAGAAGTTGCAATTTTTGCTGATACGATGAACGACGAATTTCTCCCAACAACGTCCCTCTTCAAATCGTTTCGGCCCGACATAGCACTTCTCCGGGGGGACACAATTGAAATACTGGAACTGACAATATGTCATGAATCCAACTTCTCTAGTTCAAGGGATTACAAAAGATCTAAATATAAAAACCTACACAGTAATTTGATCGACGAGAAGAAAGATTCGAAAATAATTATTAATACATTTGAAATTTCACCTTTAGGCTTTTTTAAATATTTTTATTTATCGTTTGTTGATTTTATTTGGACTGACCAATTTTGCAATGATTTAATTAACTCGGCAATAACATCATCGTACGCTATTTATTGCGATAGAAACTCGATCGCAACATAATTATTTTTAAACTGATTTTGAATTTCTCGTTGTACTCATTGCATGTTGATTCAATGGCGAGCATCGTAGATTATTTCACAAACCTTTATATCATTCTAATTATTTTATTTTATTTTATTACATGTACATTTTGGCCAAAATAAAAGAGTTTCCATTAGTCTATTATATATGTTCTTTATTCTATTATTCTATGTTCCGCTTATACTATAAGCTGAACATAAAATTAACAAAATGAAATAGGAAAATGTTAATAAGAATGTCCCACCCACAACTCACCTCCACATTTCACTGAAAACTTTCTCAACGATATCGTCAACATCGTCCTGACAGTTTTCAGTGCAGACACCCATCAAGTCAGCCATCCTCAAAAGTAGCTTTCTGTCGTTTCTAAGTTGCCTGCAGGCCTCGTCAGCTCTGTACGTCCAGGCATGGTCAATTAAGAATATACTGTTGTAAAGAAGAATGAGTAATTGTAACCGTAATTGAGTTATTACATTGAATTTTTATTAAAATAAAACATTGAGATAAAAAGAAAATAAAAATGAAAATAATCAAATGGAGAAAATTTATATGTGCCTGTTAGCATCAGCGGTAGTTAGTTCGTCGACATTCACAACAATCTTCCATGAAACACCGTCAATCTCATTGCCATCTTCATCCTCTTCAATTACTTGGGCCATCATGAAATATTCCCCAACATCCAAAATCTATAATTATAATTAGAATATTATATAATTTATTATATTTATATATATGATATCAATGTTGAATACTTTTCAGAGGTATTAATTTAGCAGGTCGCACGATTTTTCAAAAAAAAATTTCAAATAAAAATTTTCAAATAAAAATACTTTGTTAGGTATTATAATTAATATTAAATTATGCTTTTTACTGTCTACCTGTCCTACATCAACCATCATTCCTTTATTTATTTTTATTTCATTCATTAGCACTACGAACATATAATACAAATAAATAAAAAAAAGCTCAGCTCAGTGATTGAAAAGTGTTAAAAAATAAAACAAGTATAAATAACTTATATATAGTTTATACTTACTATTAATTTTAATTATAATTATATAAATTTATAAAATAAATAAATTATAATAAAAGCTTGTCATGAATATATCATTATAATATAAATTAATTTTAATAATTAAGAATATAATGATTATATTCTTAATTATTAAAATTAATTTTTGACATTAATTATTAAATTATTATTTTTAAATTATTAAATTATAGGTTTTAACATTAATTAAATATTGATATATTAATTAATAATTTAATATTTAAAAATAAAACCATTAAATATTAAATTTTAAAAACCTCATTTGTTAGTTTGTTGAATAATGTTGGCCAATAAACCTCTGGAACATTGGAACTCTCCAACTGATTTTTGTGAAGATTTACAAATAACTCCATTTGGAAATTTTTTAAATTGAAACCGAAAATTAAAAACCAGAAGGCATGAAAAAATTTAATATCGCTAATGTAAACAATAGAAACAACACAACCAAAGTGTGTTTTAACGAAATTATAAACTTGCCATGTACTTAACGTCAACATCAATAACGGTAGCATTTATTTTTCAAAATTCATCTAACATGTTAGATTATTTTAATGTTTCTAACATCATTTAAGATGTGGAGTTAGCAAACAGATGTGTTTTAGTTGTTAACATAAATGAAAAACTATTATAATAAATTATAAAAATTGTAAACTTGATTCAAAATTTGATACATTAAGAGAGCAATTTTGAATTGTTATTAATATTTGAATTTATACTATACCGATTTGGTCCATCGCCATTCTTTATATACAAGCGAATATCTATTTGAAAGGTTGGTTCACTTTTTGATTCGCCATGGAGAGCAAATCCGTGAATAAGTTTGATTCCGATCCTTACAAAGGAGAAAAAGAAGGAAAATTAAGAGAAGTTGGCAATCAGGCCGTTTGGTCAGTTTCTTCTTGCAAACCAGGTTCGTTGCTTTTACTTTTTATTAATATATAATTTACTTTACCACCCTGTAAGTGCTGCCTGGCTGACTAACCTATTCAGTTTTTAAACTAGTATCTAATAACTAATTTTATACTACTGTTTAAAAATTAAATTTTTGTTAGTTATGTGTGTTGTTAAAACGTTAATTGTTGTTCTTATTCTGTTGAATTTCAAGTTTCATTTAACTTTGTTTAACAAATGACTTGTTTAGGATATTCTCAACTCACGTAATTAATATTAATCTTATTGTTAAAGATTAAACATTAAATATTAGTAGTGATATTGTAAATTAAATATGCTACAAATAAATTGTATTATAAATAAAAAGTAATAAAACACGTGCTGACACTTGCCACCAGGTTTTGGTGTTGAGCAATTAAGGGACACTTCACTGGAAACATATTGGCAATCAGATGGACCTCAGCCTCACATGGTCAACATTCAGTTCAGGAAGAAAACAACAGTGTCCGATATTTTTCTCTATGCTGATTTTAAAGCTGATGAAAGCTACACGCCTAACAGGTTCTTTGTTTTTCCTTGATCATTTCACTTTTTTTTGTCTGTAGCAGTAGTGTAATGTTTAATACCTGGAATAATAATAAATTTTGTTTAGTCTGTTTATTTCTAATTAATGTTATTTTGTTATTTTAATGTATGCTTCTTCATGGTGTAATATTTTTCAAATTCTATAAAATACAAACAAGCTTCATCTAATTTTGTGTAACTTTAACAACTTTTAATTAATGAATGTCACTAATATTCTGACCAGGGTGTCTGTACGAGTCGGCAACCACATAAATGACCTAATAGAAATTGACCTTGTGGAGTTCATTGAGCCAACAGGCTGGGTCATGATTCCCTTGAAAAATCTCAACGAAACTGCTGTGAGGGCATTCATGATCCAGATTGCTGTGCTATCTAATCATCAAAATGGCAGAGATACGCATGTACGCCACATAAAAATTCATTCGCCTATCCAAGATTGTTCAACCTCGAAGAAGATCAATTTAGTGAATAAGGAGATGCTGCAGTGGCAGAACATCAGATGATGAAACAACTGCATGGATTTTTTTTTAATATTAGCTCCACTACTCATCTGCATATGTATTTAATTACAAAACTATCACAAAGTTGGTTTTACTGTTTCAACATGTGTTCATCTATTTCTGTTTAATATTATTTTACATCAATGATTAGTTTTCAGTCTTGTGTAAAATTTTTTTGAGATGTAAAGTCGATTGTTTCATTGCTTTTTATTATTATTTTCAATCTCTCCATATTTCCTCACCAGGATACATTATAAAAACGAAATGCATAAACTTATTAGCTAAATAGACTAACAAGCTAACTAGTTTCTTTGTCTACAAAAGCCATTTAACCAAATCTTTATGGAATATTTTTGAAACAGTTTTATAATTCCAGCTTTATAATTTTTTAATGACTTAAGCTTGAAAATTTACCTAACGCGTAGCCAAGCACTATTGCTTTAGTTCTGCTTGGTAAGAGTTTTCTAGTAGGGTTTTGTCTTTACCTCTTCAACTTTCCATACACAATCACAATATGTGCCCAACTTAACTATTAACTAATCTATTCTTTCTGTTTTGACTGTAAAAGACCCGTTTCTAGTTTTTGAACTATTCTTAAAGGATTTTCTTTGATTCTCTCTAGCGGAAATATTAATTAATTTACGTAAACCCTGAAAATAACATGGCAGATTATTCGAGATGGCAGACAATGGCATCATTTGTTGGCGATAATTTATTTATATTTTTTTATTTATAAATCTTTATTCAGCAAATGCTGGGAGACGCAGAAGCTCAAAGAGCTTGTATGGTCACCCTAATCAGAATAAAATAATGTTATAACAAGTGTTGGTTGGTAGTTATAAAATTTGATATTTTGCCATTCTAATAACTAATGTGGAAAAGATGTGTTTCATTCTCTTGATAAATAATGGTTTTTGTCGAAATACGCTTTTTTATTTGCCAAACCACACGGAAAATAGAATAGCTCATTTAATGTTTTTTGATTTCTCCTTATCCTGTTGATAACTATAAATTTTCATTAAAATTTTTTTAACCGCTTTTCTTCACTACCGTCGATTGCATTCCTCCTAGCATCAGAGTTTCAGTTATTTTTAACTGATCTCGAAACTAACAGTGGTGATCTCTCCCTTCCAATAGTTGATTACCTCTTTAAAGTGCTTCGCATACCAGAAATTTTCCAATCTACCAATTTCGTTGCGTTGATTTTCATTTTATCATGCACCGATCATACCCCTTTAACATTCTGATTTCGACAGTGAGTGTACCGACCAGTTGGTTCTTCCGTCAATAACGAAGTTGCAAGACATCAAAAAAAAAGAATTGAAATCTCCAACGTTGTTCAAATTTATTTTATGATATCTTAATTTTGTGCATGCGTTTACGTGTCTGCCATTTCTGTGCATGTATATTTTGGATGATTGAGTGTATATTTGAGCACATTGTGTTGTTGGCGTATGCACATGATCACATCGCGATAGTTTCAATGAACATAACATTTTCCTTGCTCCTGGCAATGAACTGAATCATAAAGCCACTTGCGAATATGCGATTAAAAGTTTTGGAATTGTGTGATTCGTTTGCCTTGTTTGCTTGCTGTACCATGTTGAAGAGATCTCATTTCAGCAAAAATTTTATCCGCTTGAATTCTGCAACCAACACATCATCGCCATCTTTCAACTAAAGTTAAAAAAATTTTATTGTAAGATTGTGCTTGTATCTGTCTATGTCTGAATGTGGTCTGTCTGAATGTGGTCTGTCTATATGTGGTCTGTCTATATGTGGCCTGTCTGTATGCTTGTAGATACATTTTGTAGAACACACGTTCTTCTCAATCTGCTAAACATTGCGGATGTGATGAACGATGATTTGGTGGAGGTATCTAATATTAAATTGTTGATCTGATAACTGCTGTGTGGACGAATTAGTCTGGGGTGTTGGTGGTGGTGGTGGTGGTGGTGGGTGCTTGCAAATGTTGGTGGGGAAGAAGTGAACAGTGATCTGGCAAGAATTGATTCAATAGTTTAAAAAAATAATTCAGCCAGTGCACGAATTAATTAGAAAATAGCAATTTAAAATTATGAATGAATGAATGAATAGATGGTTTGATAAATGAACGAATGGATGGATGAATGAATTGAAGATTAAATGAATGAACGAACGAACGAATGAATGAATAAAAAGTAAAAAAACATTTGCAGCTTTATATCCACCTGACATCATAAATAATACAAATACATTAATATATTATACATTTCTTGAATTCAAATTTTTTTTTCTTTATTTAAAAAAATAAAGTAAAAAAAATATTTAAAAAAAATATTAATATTGAAAGGAAGTAAAAGAAAAACTTCAGACGGAGTTTCACCATTATATTAAAAGTTGTGAATTTTGTTCTGTTGTTCATGTGTTACTGGGTTGTTGTGGTGATGTGTTGTTGTTTTTTGGTTGTTGTCTCGTTGGGTTGTCTTGTTTGGCTGGTAATAAAAAACTGCAATGTTTTTGTTTGTTATTGTTGTTGCTGCGGCTGTTGTTGTTTTTGTATTAATGTTGTTGTTGTAATGGGAATGTGTTAATGTTGTTGTATTAATGGGGACGTGTTGATGTTGTTGTTATGTTGTGTTGCTTCTGTTTTTTTTATTTATTTTGATTAATGTTGTCGTTGATGTTGGTGTGTTTTACTTTACACTGGTGGCCGCGTTGTTGTTGTGTTGTTGCTCAGTCCGATGGATTGGTGTGTTGTTGTAATGACGCTTGTTGTTGATGCCATGAAGATGATGTGTAAGGTGATCTGCTGTTGATATGTGTTTATCATGTGTTGTTGTTTGTGGCTGCGAATGCGTTTTATCGTCAATGTGTTGTTGTTGATGTGTTTCATGTAGTTTTGTCGCTGCTTGTTTTTTATATTTTTTTGCTTTATACGTTTTGATTAATATTTATGTTGTTGTTGTGTTGTTGTTACAGTGGCGCACAGTTTTAGTGTTGCAGTGCAGATGTTGTATTTATCCTGATGTTAATTTATTGTGTTGTTTGTGAAGTTGTTTGTGTGTTGTGTTGATGTATC